CTGGGGGAGGAGAGGGCGAGTGAGTGGGCCGCTCGATGAGGCTTTGCCTAATAACTTCATTTGCAGATTGAAATCATCAAGGAAATTAAGTATGTGCTAAAGCACGCACGCACGCACGCACGCACGCACACGCACGCACACACACAAACACACACACACACACACACACACACACACACACACACACACACACACACACACACACACACACACACTATCAAGAACATCAAGAAAGCTATTGGTTTACAGGCGCTTATGCACTTACTTTCGTTCGTACTGGCAAAAGCTTACGAATTTATTTTCATAAAGCAATTAGATATTCTTAGTCACGTTTATCTTGAATTCCTTTTAGCACGTTACTGGTTGCGTGCTTTGTTCGGCTTCAGCGATATGACACATTTTTTCCCTTTTAAATCAGTCAATTATCCAGTCAGTAAGAATGAATAGATAAATATATGAATAACATATATTAATATATATACAAATACATGCTTATATATATATATATATATATATATATATAAGTATATATATATATATATATATATATATATATATATATATATATATATATATATATATTTTTTTTTTTTTTTTTTTTTTTTTTTTTTTTTCAACAGCCATTCATTCCACTGCAGGACATAGGCCTCTCTCAATTCAGTATTAGAGGTTATATGGCGGTGTCACCCTTGCCTGATTGAATGCCCTTCCTAATCAACCGCGGTTCGACGCGCTTAACACTTGTGCCACGGCGGCGACTTCCCCTACGACACCTGCGTTTGACTTCTCAAGCCGATATGTCGTTTTCTCGGGCTCGAGTCAGCAATCAGAGCGTAGGCATTTTTTACAACTGCCGCGACGGGGAATTGAACCCAGGACCACGAGGGTCGGAGTCCAGTGCTCTAACCACTGAGCTATCGCGGCAGTATATATATATATATATATATATATATATATATATATATATATATATATATATATATATATATGTATATATATATACACACACATATATATACATATACATACACACACACACACATATATGTATATGACTGCCGCAATGGTCCATTGGTTAGCGCACTGGCTCGAACTTAATTTCTCGGCGAGAAAACGACATATCGCCTTGAGAAGTCAAACGCAGGTGTCGTAGGGGAAGTCACCGCCGTGGCACAAGTGTTAACGCGCCGAACTGCGGTTGATTAGGAAGGGCATTCAATCAGGCAAGGGTGACATTGCCATATAACCTCTCAAATAGTGAATTGAGAGAGGCCTATGTCCTGCAGTGGAATGAATGGCTGTATAAAAAAATAATAATAATTAAAAAAAAAAAAAAAAAATGTATATATATATATATATATATATATATATATATATATATATATATATATATATATATATAATGAGACTGTAATGTATATACTGTATATAATGTCAAGTAATGTCAGTGCTGTCCATTTGGCGTCACATTAACAAATGACGCAAAAAGAAAATCCAGATAATCTAGCAAGTATAAAAACATACATGTTCTGTTCTTTTTATCGTCCCAAAGACCGGGATTATCTGCGGCCTAATCCTCCTCCTCAGCGAAACGTGGAAAAGCCGATGATTTTTGAGGATTCTGATGACCAAGATTATCATCACCTTGGGTTTTATGTAGGTGAGAGGGAGGGAGGGAGGAAGCGAAGGAGGGAGGGAGGGAGGGAGGGAGGGAGGGAGGGAGGGAGGGAGGGAGGGAGCGAAGGAGGGAGGGAGGGAGGGAGGGAGCGAAGGAGGGAGGGAAGGAGGGAAGGAGGGAGGGAGGGAGCAAAGGAGGGAGGAAGGGAGGGAGGGAGCGAAGGAGGGAGGGAGGAAGCGAAGGAGGGAGGGAGGTAGGGAGGGAGGGAGGGAGGGAGAGAGGGAGGGAGAGAGGGAGGGGGAGGGAAGGAGGGAGGGAAGGAGGGAGGGAAGGAGGGAAGGAAGGAGGGAGGGAAGGAGGGAGGGAGGGAGGGAGGGGGGAGGAAATTAAGTAAGTAAGGAGGGAGGAAGGGAGGGAGGGAGGCAGAGAAGGAGGGAGGGAGGGAAAGAAAGAGGGAGAAAAAGAGGGAGAAATAGAGAGGGGGAGGGGGAGGGAAGAAAAGACAAGAGGAGAGAAGAGACAGACGGTAAAGAGAGTAGAGAGAGATAGTCAGGTAAACAGACAAACAGATAAACAGACAGAAAGAAAAGAAAGAGAAAGGGAGAGGTAACAAGACCCTAACGAAAGCGTCCCACGCCCTGCACCCATTCGCCCAAAATTGCTAGCATCATAGAATGAAAAAGGTCGGAAAAACGCGCCAATAATAATATCGACGCGCATAGCTATCACATGTTTCTATAACGATAAGCGATGACCTTTGCGTTAATGCTCCGGACAGCGAATCTGACACAATGACAAGAATTGTGTTTCGTAAACAAATTATTATACATATGGGCCAAAGAAAGAAAAAGTAAGAGAGAGAGAGAGAGAGGGAGAGAGAGA